GGACTACAGGCACCTGCCACCATGCCCGGCTAATTTTTTGTATTTTTAGTAGAGAGGGAGTTTCATCATGTTAGCCAGGATGATCTCGATCTGCTGACCTCGTGATCCACTTGCCTCAGCCTCCCAAAGTGCTGGGATTACAGGCGTGAGCCACTGCGCCCAGCAATAGCATTCTTTTAATTTTGAGTTTATCTGATGTTTTCCCACCTGCCCTTATTAATTTTGATCACTCCATTGAGATATTTCCATACTTTACCCTTATAACTAATAAGCAATCTGTAGGGGAAATAGTTTAAGAAGATGCATATATCTTGCATGTATTGATGATTCTTACTTGAATCAATTCTTACTATGATGGTTGCAAAATTAAGATTTTCCAACTCCAGCACTGCTTTTGAGTGAGTGTAGGACTCACCAGTCAGCGCTTGGCACACTACTATAAGCAAGAATCCTCCTAGAATGTTTATCCCCTCCAAAACCCACTTTAAACTTAGTTGCCATTGTAACAGCGTCAAGAGGTGAGACCTTTAAGAGGTGATTAGGCCATGAGGGCTCCACCCTTGTGAATAGACTAATGCTGCTATCATTATTGCAAGGTGGGTTCACCCTTCTTGCTCCTTCTCCTCCACCATTTCTTTATCCTTCTGCTATGTGATGCCTTCTACCATGTTATGACAGAGCAAAAAGTCCCTCACCAGATGCCAGCCCTTCTATCTTGGACTTGCCAGCCTCCAGAACTGTGAACTAATAACTTTCTTTTCATTATAAATTACCTAGTCTGTGGTATTCTTTTATAGCAGCACAAAACAGTCTAAGACAGAAAGTTGATGCCAGAGAGTGGAGTGTTGCTATAACCAACACCTGAAAAATGTGAAAGTGGCTTTGGAATTGAGTCATAGGTAGAGACTGGGACAGTTTTGAAGTGAATACTGAAAAAGTCTGTATTGCCATGAACAGAACATTAAGGGCAATTCTGCTGAGGGTTCAGAAAAAGAGGACAGCTATAGAGAAAGTCTGAAACTTCTTAGCAATTACCCAAGTGATTTTGATCAGAATGTTGTTAGACATATGGACAGCAACAGCAATTCTGATGAGGCTGAGGCAGAAGAATCACTTGAACCTGGGAGGTGGAGGTTGCAGTGAGCAGAGGTTGCAGTGAGCAACCTCCAGCCTGAGCGACAAGAGCAAAACTCCATCCCAAAAAAATAAAGATTTTCTCTGTCTTCATACATGTCTGCTTCCCCTTTGACCTTCTCTATCAAGTTATGACACAGCACAAAAATCCTTGCCAGAAGTCAGGGCCATGTCCTTGAACTTCCCTGCCTGCAGAACTATGAGCTAAATAAACATCTTTTCTTACATGAAAACAAAATTTTTAAGTAAAATAAAAATAAATAAACTTATTTTCTTTATAAATTACTCAGTCTTGGATATTCTGCTATAGCAATACTGAGAGGACTAAAATGGATAGTTTTGCTTGTTCTAGAACTTAATATAAATGGAAACATACATTATGTATTATTGTGATCTGTCTCATTTTACTCAACATAATGCTTTTGAAATTCATCCATGTTGTTACTTATATCAGTAGTTCATTCTTATCAGTTATAATATTTCGTTGTATACCACCATTTATTTATCCATTTTCCTATTGATAATCATTTAGATTGTTTCCAGTTTTGAGCTATTATGAATAGTGTTTCTGTGAACATTATTGTTCAAGTATTTTTGTGGACATGCATTTTGTTTCTCTTGGGTAAATATGTAGGAATGAAATTGCTGACCATAGGATAGGTATATATTTAACTGTATAAGAAACTGCCATTCAAGACCAGCCTGGGCAACATAGCAAGACCCCATCTCTATAAAAAGAAAAAATAGCCAGATAAGGCGATGGCACCTGTAGGCCTAGCTACTCAGGTGGCTGAGGTGAGAGGATCAGTTGAGCCCAGGAGATTAAGCTTACAGTGAGCTATGATCATGCTACTGTACTCCAGCCTGGGTGACAGAGCAAGAGCCTGTCTCCAAACAAAACACACTAAAAAGCCCTGCCAGTTCTCTAAAGTATTTGTACCATTTTATGTTCCTATGAGAGCTCCGGTTGCTTTACATCTTTGCCAATATTTGGTATTGTTTGCCTTTTATATTTTAGCCAGTCTAGTGGTATCATATTGAGGTTTTAATTTACATTTGTCTTAAGACCAAGAAGACTGGCATTTTTTTTTTCATATCCTTATTGACCATTTGTTTATGATTTGTGAAGTGTCCAAGTCTTTTGCTTATTTTTCAGCTGGCCCATTTATGTTTTATTATTGACTTGTTGTTTATATGCTCTATGCTCTTTTGCCAGATACATATATTAGAGGAACTTTCTCCTATTTCTTTCTTTCTTTTTTTTTTTTTTTTGATTTCACTACGTAAAATTTATATATATATAAAAAATAAAACACTGGAGCCTAAAACCATTCTCTTTTGTAGAATACATATTGGCATTGAAACAGTTTAAACAAATGAAATGTCTATCTATAAAAACTTAGTTTTGTTTATTGTATTCCCCGCATACTTTATGTGTCTTCACACATAAAGAAAATTTTCAAACGTTTTATATTCAGCAATTTTTTTAAAAGTACAGTTTTCCACTGCTGTGGTCTTTATAAAGGACTTTACTTAAATTTTCAAATAAAAAAGAATTAAGGTTCTAGGATAACTCTGTGTCTTTTAAGAGCATCTTTATACAGAACAATTTGGACCAGCATGCAGGCAACTTCTTTTGTTGATACATACCTGTATTAGGAAAATTACACCCATTTTACAGAAAAATCCCAAAACATATACTGCAATAAGCTCAAAACAATGTGAAAAAGACCAGTGTGAATGGCACACAAAAATCGCTTCTTTATAAATTAACTGGAATTCCTCATCATGAAGTAGACACAGGGAAATCCAGTACTTACGGCTTTGCTCTCTGGAAGAACACCTTTAAGAAATTTTTTTTCTTTTTTTTTTTTTTTTTCTTTTTTTTTTTTTTTTGAGACAGAGTCTCACTCTGTCACCCACGCTGGAGTACAGTGGCGCAATCTCGGCTCACTGCAAGCTCTGCCCCCTGGGCTCATGCCATTCTCCTGCCTCAGCCTCCCAAGTAGCTGGGGACTATAGGCGCCCGCTACCACGCCCGGCTAATTTTTTGTATATTTAATAGAGACAGGGTTTCACCATGTTAGCCAGGATGGTCTTGATCTCCTGACCTCATGATCCACCCGCCTCGGCCTCCCAAAGT